CAACAAATGACTGCCAACACGTGTCACGCAAAAAATCGAAAAATTGTATAGTGAAGCCATTTGTCATTATTTTTATTTCTTTTTTGGAGTGATTGTCCGCGAAGCAAAAATCACGTGCTTACAGTCCCAATTAAAGGGTTAAGCCTCGAGATTACCCGACTTGAACCCTAGTTGCTTGAGCTAATTTGCCTACCCATTCGGTCTCGAGAGAGTCAATTGGGCAAAATCACTCTCTCTACCGAGAGGTGTGAGAGTGGGTAAGATTGTGCAACGGTTATAACATATTTCCCCAAACATGTCAATCGAACCTTAGAAGCATTTACCCGTCAATTAGCCACCTAGGTGAAAGTCACTACTCTAGTGCCTTTCTACCCATTAGATTAAACTCTAGCAATTTTCTTATTAGCATAATTTAGTTCTAATTAGTAATTGATAATATTAGTTTGTTAAAGAAAATTCAAAAGGTGTTTGGAAGTGACATTTGGGACAATTACACAACTCTAGTCTAGATAGATACTCGACTCCATTCCTAGCTCCCTGTGGAAATCGATCCCGACCCTCATATCGGGTAAAAGCTATTGCGACCCTCTCTTCCTGCTTTTTAGTAGTGTGGAGTTGGCAGTGATTAATTCCTCAGTAAAATAATCAAACTTTAGTTTTGATCTCCAAAGAAATCTTCAACTTCCAAATGAGTAAGATCATCAAGGCCTTGAAAATCATCATCATTCAAAGCAAGATTTGCCTCGGCATTGTCATCATTTTTGTTTGAAGGCCCTGCTTCAAAATTATTTTTAAAGGTCAAGTGAGACTCCACTGAGGCATTAACAGAAGATGCTCCGATATTATTTGCCTTTCTTTTGATGGAGTTTTGATAAAGCCTAACAAAATGCTCAGGTGCACGACATTTTATTTTCCAATGACCTTTCATGCCACAACGGTGGTAGTTACCGCATTTTGCCTCTCGAAGGATTGTTTTGAGAACCCATATTGTTCTCTCATTTTCCATGACCACCACGATGATGACTATTATATCGTCTCTTACCATTGTCATGCCCACGTACATTCATATGGCCATGATTATTATTCTGTCTTTTTCCAGACTTATCACTTCTAGCTGCCATATTCGCTTCAGGAAGTAGAGCTGACCCTATGGGACGGGCTTCGTGATTTTCAGCAAAAGGGTATTATGTTGCTCAACCACCAGAAGGCATGAGATCAATTCAGAATACTTTTTAAAACCCCTTTCATGGTATTGCTGCTGTAATACCATATTTGAGGCATGAAAAGTCGTAAGAGTCTTTTCCAACAAATCCTCATGATTCATAACATCCCCACATAATTTTAATTGGGAAGTTATTCGAAATACAACAGAGTTATACTCACTTACAGTCTTAAAATCTTGCAACCGTAAGTGCATTCACTCATATCGAGCCCTTGGTAATACTGTAGCCTTAAGGTGACCATACCCTTCCTTCAGGCCAGTCCACAATTCAAGTGGATCTTTCACTGTCAAATATTCAACCTTCAAACCTTCATACAAATGATGAAGAAGGAAAATCATACCCTTCACTTTGTCCTGGCTTGATGCCTTATTACCCTGAATAATGGTGTCACCAAGGCCTTTAGCGGATAAGTGAATCTCGACATCGAGAACCTATGATAGGTAATTATTTCCAGAAATATCAAGTGCCATAAACTCAAGGTTTGACAAATTTGACATAGTGAAAACTCTCAAAGAAGATAAGTAATTAGAAATCATTAGGATAATAGCGTAAAGAATCTTAAAAATTAACATAATATCAAATTTGTGATCTATATACACTAAAGTGATAATTCCATAAAAAAGAATGCTATTTTTTTTCTTCTTCAAATCATTAGTCGAGCAACATAAAAAAGTATTCTTCTCTCAATTAATTCTTTTAACATGAAAATTGGCAACTTTCACATGACAATCATGCAAATAACTTAAAATAAAGAAACACAGAATTCTTTATTTTTACATATATCTAGAGATGTGAAAAATTATAAAACTGCATATTAAAGACACTAATCATGAAATCAAAATATACAACGAAGAAAACAATATGAACAAATATACCTGAACAATGAAAATAGCTCAACTTTGTGCTGATAACGTATTAAAAAAATGTAGCTCAAAGTAACAATATCAAATAAGAAGATAAGTAGAATAAGAGAAGAAGTGATAACTTTCTTATTTCATCAAGTGTTCAAGTGTGTTCCATCTCATATTTCATGGCTCTATTTATACTATTACATATGAAGGTTACAAAATGATTGTCTTAAACATGACATTAACAATTGAGATCATGAGGGAATATCATGTGAAAGGGCTATGGAGTTGTAAGAATTACAATCATAATGGTAATGAATAGTAGGAGGTTATTTACATCATGACCGGAAGTAGTGAGAGTAGTGGACATTCACATTTACTAAATTTTATAACAAAGGGAATTTTATGTATTATCCCTAAAAAGAATCCGGAAAGCCCATACAAATTAATAAAGTTGTTTCACTTTCTACTTTCTACTTTCTACTTTCTACTACACAAAATTGTTTATTTACGTTACCCAATCATGGAACGTGAAAACTTATGAAATCCAGCGTGTCCAAATAAAAAGTGTTTAACACATTCACTCCGCACTCCACCATAAACACCGCGTTTTCTGTGTCCTTCGGGTCCTACATCTGACGGACGGCGTTTACCCCTCATTTCCCTCTATCTTCCTCCACAATTCACCTACTCTTCCCGGCAAAAAACCCTAACCCCCAAATTCTGCAATTTTCCTATCAAGAGCTTCGTCTTTATTTTTTTAGTGAGTGGTACTCCTAATTTTTGCCAGTGGTATAGTAGTAATACATGGATCGAGCTGAAACTGGCAATGCATCGATTGCCAGGAATTTTTGCTCATAAGAAACGCGTCGATTCTAAGCAAAAGCGTGCCGTTTCCTCTTCCGTTAAAGCAAAGCCGAAACTCGAGCGCCTCAACGCTCGCAAAGATATTGATTACGAGCCGTGTATGCTTGAGTTCAACGGCGATAATAAGAGCTTTCGAATCGAAGGGCATGATAGTGAATTGCTTGATAATTTTTTCGAAAAGTTAGGGTTTTCTGGTCCTGATGATTTTGCTATCCCTGCCGCTGAATGGGATGCTATGCAGTTGCGTTCCTCTGCCTCATCGGAGGTAATTGGTCTAGGTAATAACAAAATTAAGGATAATATTTTTGAATATTCTGATATTCCTATTAAAGCTAGAGATGTAGTTCAGCTACAAATTAGTGATGCGTCTAAAGCTGATACAATTAGATTAGAAGACTGTGTTACAGGGAACGGCATTGTTTTAAATGGAAATGAACCTGTAACTTTAGTTCGATGTGGTGGTGGTGGTGGAGGGATTAAGGGTGTAAGGCCACCACTTTTGGCTCCTCCGCCGGTCATGTCACTGCCAATTGTTGATGATGCGTCATGCTCTACTTGGGATATTTTTAGGGCATTTGGCCCGGAGGATCATAGGGAATCAGGGCTTTGTAGATCTGACGTTGTCAATGGTGATGCAGAACGTGTTAAGAACGAGGTGTATGATGAGGAGGAGAATAGTACTAGTAGGAGAAGAGTAGGAGTGAGTAACTTACTATCGGAGTCCTGTTCTTTTACCACTACTTCGAATGACGATGATTCTTCTAGCTCCACGACTGAGCGTATGTCAAGCATCTCACCGAATGGGAGATTCGCACGCTACATTACATACTGGGACAAAGGTGATCTCCTAGGACGTGGATCTTTTGGATCCGTATATGAAGGAATTTCAGAGTAAGCCTGTCATTTTTAAGTCTCATATTCAGTTTCTTTTTTGCTTTCCTATTTTGAGCATGATTTTGTAGAAACAAATAGTATTAGCTTTTATTATTGGGTTCTTTATTTGGTGGAGCAAACACTTTATTAGCAGCTACCCTCTTGTTCGTAATTTTGGTGCAAAATCTCTATTGCCTCGAAATTAACAGACTAGGAGATAAATTTCTGATAGCCTCCATTTTACTTGAAGGAAAGAATAAGTGCCTGTTTGTTAGTGGGAATACTGAATAGAGCTCCAAGGAATGAAGGTTTATATAATGTTTGATGTATTAAGATTTAAGATACCACAAAATGTTATTTGTGGTTCTAAATCTCAAGGGACTAACCATTTGGTAATGGAAGCTGTTAGCTATGTAATATAAAACAAAGTGGGTATGAGAAATACTATTTCTCAAGAGATTATCAATTATTAAGTAAATAGTTACTTGTGAATAGGTACTGTATGAAGATACTGTGTAATTTAAGGTTGCCTACAATTAGGAGCACACACTTAAATAATGTATATTTGTGACTACTTGTCGAAACTCAATAGACATAATATATTGGTTAATCTGACTATAAAATGTTAGAAAACTTTATGGCTACTAGGAATATTTGCCTTGTTCGCTTATGCAGTAATGACTTATTGATGTGTCCAATATGTTCCCCTCTTTTGATATATAAGTGTAAGCTTTTATTGATAGGAAGTTAGCACTGAGAAAGTGCTCCAGTAGCATTAAAGATTGTGCAAAGCACTGAACATGTCTAGAATGTCATTTACAGAAGTCAGGCTCATCCTAAAAAAAAAATTTCGTTCTCAAAAAGAAGTCAGGCTGAAAAGATGTTGGAGTAATCACCCAGAACATCAAAGGAAAGAATAGATTAATATGTGCTTCATAAAATTATAGTTTTCTAGCATACTCAATGTTTCAAATGTATATATTTTTTTCAGAAATTTACGACTTGCCGACTTGCTAAACCTTCCCTGCACTCTCATTTTTTAAAATTGAAAAGTAACCTCTTCTGTGTTCATATTGCTGCAGTGATGGTTTCTTTTTTGCTGTGAAGGAAGTTTCATTACTTGATCAAGGCGATGGGGGAAGGCAAAGTCTATACCAACTTGAACAGGTTGGTGACAATATTTTTTGGTGGTGCAGGAACTTATCAGAAATTATTTATCTGTGCAATTGGAAGACACCTTCAATAAAAAATAAAAGAAGTGTGTTGATGTGTGTGACCATCTCATCTAAAAGCTTAAGCTTTTAGAGAGAGCACACTTTAATTACTTAAATAAGTCTTCAACACACCCACGTGTAGGCTTGATTCTTTGATGACCCGAGCACGTAGAGATTCTTTCTTGGATAATGTGTGGCGGTGAGACTTGAACCCAAGACCTTTGCCTACTTTGGTACATTGTTGAAGTGTGTGACTATCTCATTTAAACGCTTACACTTTTAGAGAGAGCATGCTTTAATTACTTAATAAGTCTTCAACAAAGTGGAACAAAAAGAGGTATTTGGAACAAAAATGACCATCTTTCTATAACATCTGTGAAATAAGTTTGAATGATGAAGTTGATATAGAACTGAATTTTTCTCTTCTCTAGCAGCATACCAATCAATGTCAAACTAATTTTTTTTTTTCTGAAGAGGCTCAGTTTGTCTTCTGCCTCTTGCCTTACCCTGTTTCCTGGACCAACCATAGTGTAGGGCCTAAAGTTGATTAATCTACTATTATGTGCATATGAAATTATCATATTTGAAAAGGTGAAATTGTCATAATATTCCTAGATTCTCATGTTTACTCCTTTGTACTTTTTGGTGGCCTCTATTTTACCTTTGGTGGAATATTCACTGATTTGCTTTTGTTATTTCATTTGTCTTGTTCTTTTTAGGAGATTGAGCTTCTAAGTCAGTTCGAACATGAGAACATAGTTCGATATTATGGAACTGACAAGGTAATGCTTTCTTAATTTTGTGCTTCTGCTTGCTTCCCGAAGCTCCTCCTCTGAGAGGAACTGTTCTCTAGCTCTTTCCCTGTGAATGCTACTTTTGTATCTAAAAGCCTTTGGTCTGAAGAGTGCACATTATTGTTCACGCATGTTGATCCCATATGCAGAAATGCTTTTTACCTAGCCAAATTTCTTCTGTCTTTGGTCTGTATATCTCACACTCCCCTTTTGGCAGCTTAATGGTTTTTTTTCAACCTTTGAAATTGGTTTATTTTTTGTCTGTGTACGTCCTTTCAAAAGTTCACTTCGGTTGTCACATCTTTCAGTACCAAGACTAAACTGGATAAGCTAACTGTCTTAAAAATACTTCGATCTCTTTTACTTTGTATAGCAATCTTCTCTATGTACTTAATCTTTTTGCTCAACTTCTGGTTAAATTTTTTGCAGGATGATTCAAAATTGTACATCTTTCTTGAGCTGGTTACACAAGGATCTCTGTTGAGCCTTTACCAGAAATATCACCTTCGAGATTCGCAAGTATCCGTCTACACAAGGCAGATTTTACATGGTTTGAAGTATTTGCATGACCGAAATGTGGTTCACAGGTGACAAATCAGAACAACAAATGTTTGATATCTATGCTGCCCCTTCTTTATATCTATTTTTTAAATCTGTTTTACCAATTTTGTTTGGTTTTATTCATGTCTTAAGTCTACTCTCATGATACGCTGGATAGTGAATTCAAGAATTGGAGCCAACTCTCCATTTTGAGAAATGGTAGAAGTTGTTTGCAGATTGTTGCAAGTTATGACATTTAATTAATCATTTTGATTTACTAAATGTTTAATTTGTTGATCAATAAATTAAACATCGTGATTTAGTCATGCCAAGTTATTTAATTGACCTTTCTGGATCAGTTTTGTCGTCTGTTTTCATGGACTCTAGGATATTTGTATGAACTGTTTTCTCATCTGTTTTGGTGTCAAAGTTTAGGAAGATGAGGAATCATGACGATGGCGCTAATTGATCTGGATACTCAAGCATACTTAAGCTAGTGTGTGACTAATTTGTATTTATAAAGAAGAGGCGTGTGACTAGTTAGCAGCATAGTTATCTGGATTGTGATATGTGAAAGATGGTTGATAAAGTGGCCCTCTAAACAAAAATCTACCAGTCAAAGATCTAAAAATGAAGTTTATTCATTAAAGGTTTACATGAAAATTTGTTTTCCTTTAGTTTATAACCTTTTGTTTTACAATTTATTTTCTTGTTTTCAGTTGAAAGTGGTTGTTCCAATTCTATAAAAATGTCTGCAGAATAACTTTAATTTGTTCTTTAGGATTCTGATATTCTTGTATGTTAATTTTCTTGTAGAGATATTAAATGTGCTAATATATTGGTGGATGCTAACGGATCGGTCAAGCTTGCTGATTTTGGCCTTGCAAAGGTTGTAACATCATCTTGTCCTTGCCTCTCTTTTGTCTTTCTCATTCTGATGCTTTTATTGTCTTCCACACTTCCAGGAGTTTTAATCTTTTCATTTATGTGACAATTTCTGATATGCGGATTCATGCAACATGCAGGCTACTAAGTTAAATGATGTCAAGTCTTGCAAGGGTACTGCTCTTTGGATGGCTCCTGAAGTAAGCTTCGATTTATCTTTGATGATTAACAGGAAATTGGCTAATATATGTATGTAATTATGCAAATCACTCGAGGGGCCTGTTTTGGTGTGAATAAAAACATCAATTTTGGTGAATTTTCGCAACTTAATATTAATGGAAATCAGGTCTTTGAAGAGTTTTTTGCCCCCTCTTTTTTTAGAGTATAGTTGAAAGTGCAAATGAGTTAGGGTTCTTGTGTACTTTCTTCTTAGCAATCCGCCACATCAGTGTCCTGATGTGGTGCAAAATATGAACGGATTCTAGCATCATGGATGGATGAGGATAAAAAAGCTAGACCAAGAGAGTTCGATTCGGGTAGGTAGCTGGAACATACACATTTTAACAGGGAAGTCAATGTAATTAATGGATACCCTTTTTTGATTGCATGCCTATAGGAACCTAAATGGACAAGGCAAAAGGCTAGAGAGATAGGTAACGTGGATTATAGATTATGATATTGTGGGATAGAAAAAAATAGGAATGTGATGGGAATTATTGTAGAACCACTACTTAAAGATAAGGTTGTAGGTAAAATGAGTTGGGGATAGGATTATTTTTGGGCAATGTTAATGCCCTTATATCACTAATCAGTGGATACCCTAAAAAAGAGGAGAGTTGATATTGCATGCCTACAAGAAGCTAAATGGATAGGGCAAAAGGCTAGAGAGATAGGTAATGCAAGTTATAAATTATGGTATTGTGGGATAGAAAAAAATAGGAATGTGGTGGGAAATATTGTAGAACCGGGACTTAAAGATAAGGTTGTATAGGTAAAACAAGTAGGGGATAAATTATTTCTGGGTGAAGCGCATGCACTTATATCACTAGTTAGTCATGCATATAATTTTGCAAGTTATAAGTGTATTGTTGCAAAATCGTTTTTACCACATAGATTTTGTAGTTACATTGTGGGTTGTCAACGGATTCATTATTTAATTTGAGATTCTTCACGCAGTCTACTAGTTTTACAGTAGCATATCAGAAAGTATCTTCTTTTCTTTTCTCTCCATGAGTTCAATTGGCATTAGTTTTAGGTGCTCATTATTATGACTCATCCTCTATGCAGGTTGTGAACAGGAAGAACCAAGGCTATGGACAAGCGGCTGATATATGGAGCCTTGGCTGCACTGTCTTAGAGATGCTTACTCGCCAGTTTCCTTACTCCCACTTAGAAAACGTAAACACGAACTTCATATTTTTGTCTTTTCATTACATTTTGATTGGTCAAACATGCTTTTCAATGGCTTTGATTTTGTAACCTCCTAATCCACCTAGAAATAGCTTGAGTGGTACTTGTTATTGGTAAAATCTGGACAAGTATGAACTGTTATTGTGGAAATGGTATTCGTGCTGCCAGATGAGGGACTATTACACTATCCCTTAATCTGGCAGATCTAATTCATGCTAAATGTAAACTATAATTGTTTTGAAATTTGATTGCTAGTTATTCACTTTGATTGAATTATGTGCACAAGGGTCTATTTTAGAAAGGATGAGTAGAATGTTCTGCTGCTGAAACACAGAGAGTATAATTAAACTCTTGATTAAGCTGTCTAAACCAAATTGTATTTGTACCTAAATGAAATGACTATTGAAATGTTGGGTTTTCCATGCCTTTTACCTCTTATATACCTTGGTCTTCTCTTTTTCCACTTATTCTAAGGTGAAGAATTTTTGGAGGTGTGCATCATTAGTGGTAGATGTTTGGGCTTTATGTTCTCACTCAAAATGTGTTTGTTTATGCGGTCTCATTATCCATTGAATTTCGAACCATGCGCCGCTGGACTTCAGGGAATTCTCGATTATAAAAAAAGTGTTTGTTTATGGTACTTTGCTTTGTTAAATGTTCTTTTGCTAGTTATATTCGAGATGGGTCGTTCTACTCTATTCTATTAGATTCCTAGATCCAATTATCAAACTACAACCATTTAATCCTCCCACTACTGAAAAAGTTACTATAATTATTACTTGAATTTCAATCAACCAGTCAAACTTCAAAACTTACTGCTAGTTGGTTTGGGATTCATCATCCATGGCAAACCAGGAGAAGAAAAGGGCAAAAGAACGGGGGAAGAAGAGAACAGGTGATAGAGAGAAAAAAAGGAATTAGCTGGGTTTTGATAAAAAGACCAAAGTGCCTTTGTAGTTAATGAATAGATAACATGAAAGTAAGGGTTATTTTGGAGAAAGAGAAAATGGGTACATTGCAATGTAGTATGTTAGCAAGACCCAATTTATATGTGTGTGTGTGTGTGTGTATTATTGATTGGTGGAGTTTCTTCTCTATATTGACTTAAAATGATAAAATTACTGAAATTCTTTTTCGGACATGGAGTGAAAATCTAAGTCTGTAAGTTTGGAAATTACTATAATACATGATCAATAGCTGTTTTCGTGTCAAATGCTATAAGTTCTTTTGTTAAATTTCTGAATATGTTCAGCTTAGAAAGTGCTATGCTTGTGCAATTGAGTTAGCTTGTTTATGAAAAAAGACAAAAAAAAAAAGAGGGGGGGGGGGATGATATCTGCTGATAATTTCTTTGATTGAACACCTTTGTGGAGATGCTGATGCGTGCAAATCTCACTATTTTTTTGGAGAGTGACCATATATTTTTTCTGTGGAACAGCAAATGCAGGCTCTGTTTAAGATTGGAAAGGGGGAACCTCCACCTGTCCCTAATACCCTCTCAATAGATGCACGAAATTTTATTAACCAGTGTCTTCAAGTGGATCCAAGTGCTCGTCCAACTGCTTCTCAGCTCTTGGAGCATCCTTTTGTGAAACGAACACTTCCCTCTTCCTCAGGCTCAGCTTCTCCTCACACTCTAGGAAAGAGGCTTTGAAACCTTGTTGTAAGTGCCAAATTTCCCTTGGTCATCTATTTTTGTTAGTGATAGTCAGTTGCTCAACTGTAGCATTAGAATTTCAAAATGCTACCATGTTTACCTTATTTCCTGCCATTGCTTCAGTTGAGTTAGCAAATGTTTCTACCATTTAATTGTAGAACTCAGTTTTAGTTAATTAGCACAATCATTTTATGAGTACTTCTGTTTTAGTCACTTGAGTCATCAGTGTATCACAAAATGATGGGCAATGTGAAAGAAGAAAGAGGTGTTATAGAACTAGAATTTCCGCCTGTGTCAAAATACATAGGGTTTTTCACGGTTTTTAAGGATAAAATCAACTGGTCTTCAGATTCTAGAGATTGATAAAAACTTACGGAACTGGAAAGTATAAAAAAAAATGAATTACTAATTCAAAGTGGAGAACTAAAATGCTTAAGTATTTTCTGAGAGAATCACAGTATACTGCTATATAGGTGAGACATTTTGGTTTGGTGGGGAGGAGCTAAAAAGGTTTCTTATTAATGAAAATGCTGCTTTGGAAATGAAAAGAAGAATATATATTATCACAGTCTCCTGAGATTTATACAGGCCTTTTTACGAGGGCCTGTAACCCAATGGATGCTTTAATTGATGGAACATTGGGCTAATCCAGTTGGTAGGGCTATGATTGGCAGATTACTGGTTCCCCCTGTCCAAGCATTGAGTTGGGCCATGTGGTCTGTGCGATATGACCAGTTTCGTGGGCTTTAGAGAGGAGGGTAATGCGTCAGGCTGGTTTCCGAATCCGCTGAGATTTAGCCCCTTTATTGGAAAGAACCTCTGAATTTAGCCTTTCATTTTGCTGACTCCTACGAAAATTATCTTTCTTTTCGCATTCTTCATAGATGTTTTGTAGTTTAACTTGTTACTTTCTCAACTGCACTAGTTCATACTTCAAGTGGCAAATACGATAATGATGCTGCTTTGGTAGGGATATAGAACTTCTTGCCTGTCTTATCAGGGCAGGTTCTTGTCATAGTCTTTTAGTACCACACACCTCTCTGCTATGCATCCTTGGATTGACTGTGATGTTTTATTACAATCTACTGGTCTCGCTAGACTTAGTTTTATTAGTAGATCTAAGGTATATTTTATGTAATTTCTCCTGCAGCTCTTTTCTTCCCATTGGATCCTCAAAGTTTTGGTGGAAGTAATCTGGATGCTTTTCTCAGAATCTGTATTTGAACACTGAGTTCAGGTGTTTGATCCTTTGAGAGCGCATCAAGAGCAGTTCCTACTCGTGGTCAATGCCTTTGCGGCAGTGTATGTTTGAGCCCCCCCTCTCTTCTTTCCGATTTCCTGACCTCTCTCTCTCACCCCATCACGGATGGAAAGAAGAGGTTAGGTATTGTGCTGTATATGTAGTTCAATTCGCTGTTAGAGTGTTTGAGCCAATACGGGATGTAAAGATAGATAACCCATTTGAAATGTATATATCACTAGAAGAGGTCCAGGTGTTGCTTTCTTCATCTTTTTCCATAATTTTTCCTTTTCTTTTCAGTTGTTTGTTATCTTGTGTAGGGAAACGTATTGTATAACTTTGCATTTCAATTTCTCTTATCGAGGGGAGACAAGAGGGGTTGCTCTGATGGTAAACAACCTCCACTTCCAACCAAGAGGTTGTGAGTTCGAGTCTCCCCAAGAGCAAGGTGGGAAATTCTTGGAGGGAAGGATGCCAAGGGTCTATTGGAAACAGCCTCTCTACCCCAGTGTAGGGGTAAGATCTGCGTACACACTACCTTTTCCAGACCCCACTAAGTGGGATTATCCTGGGTAGTTGTTGTTGTTCAAACTATACAAGGAAGTGACAACACATTCCTTTAACCAATGTGAGATTTTAAAACTATCTTGACATGTATTGCATGAACAATATAGTATGATGGATGTTTGACTCAAAAGATATCGAAACCTTTTTGAACAAATCAATCAAGGAAGATGAAGGAGTAAATCTTAGTTGGACATAATAAATTTCAAATCAAAGAGCTAATAGTATGGATTACATATAGGACAAAAAAGATGTAAATGATCTTATTGAAATTCAACACAGCTTTACATGTTCTTCTGTAGATTACTTCTTTCCTATTAAAATTACAAGAAGAGAGCTTCGGAGAGAGAAAAGGGGGAAGGAGCCTCCCATATCGAAGGTTTTTCCTTACTATATATATAGTCAATGCCCCCTTACCCTTTACTTGGTCTGACGCCCTCTTGCTTCCAATGTGTCTTGGTTGTCCCTTTAGGCGCTGCTCTTTCCAACTCGACGGATGTCGGGAAAGGGATGCAGAGTGGGTTATGTTATCTTTCACTGCCCGGTCATTTAGGCGGGACGTTGGTCAGTTCGGTCGTGACGATCAGATTTTGACCAATACAGTTAGTCCCTCCGTCTGTCGGGTCGTCCTCTGTCGGGCTCAGCAGACGGATCATGATTGGTACGAATTCGAGCGAAATCTGACTTCTGACTTTTTATTCCTTAGTTACATTACTTGGGTTTTAGGCGGAGTAGCGGCGTTCTTTCGACACCCATGGACTGTTGCGGCGGTTTTGGAACCAAAACGTCGTTTGGCATCAAAGCGCTATTTCGTGGTTACCGCCATTATGGCACACGTTCCTGGAGAACTGAAACGTTTCGTGCCCTATCAGATTCGATTGGTAACTCTTGGGTTTCGTGCTTGGGGATTTATGTCTCTTATAAATAGAGGGAGCTTATCATTCGATTGACAGTTCTTTACCTTTTACTTGAGAGAATTTTGCAGATATACTTTCTTTCTGACACTCCAAGTTTTCGTTTGCCCTTAATTAACTGAAAATCTTCATCCTTTCTTTCCGTTGTCTTTTTGCCGCCTCATCTGGACAAAATGGCTGGTGATTCCTCTCGCACCGATCTTTCTGCCACAGTTCCGGCACCGGAAAGTGCTGCTCAGGCTACCGGAGGGGTAGATACAGTGGAAGACGAGGAGTTCCCGTCAATAGTCGAGATTTTGCCTCGCCCTGGGAGAGAATTGGCCGACTTCAACAGTCACATCGGGCCGGAGCCGGAGCCTGTCCCTTCTGTTCTGAGAGAAACAGACATTGTAGAGTTGAAAACCAGGTGGGGGATCCCCGGCTACGTTGACATGCGACCGGCGGAAGGAACCGATATTGTTCACTTCGACCGTCCTAGGTACTGTGTATTTTACGCCTATCCCTTCTTGATTGGGTACACACTTCCTCTCCCTCTCCTGGTGGTAGACTTCTGCCGTTTTTATGAGGTATGACCCGCTCAACTTTCATCGTACCTGTACAAGTTGTTCCTTATGTTGCTCAAATTTGCGGAACTCGCTGGTCGTGAGATCACTTTGGACCATCTGCTCAGTATATTTGCCCCTTAACTCATCTGCGGCACGATGCTTCACATGCGTCCTCGGGGGTCGAAGAGCCTGGTGGTAAAAATGGACGACAGGACCAACCGCCGTTTTATGAGAATTATTTCTATATGCGGACTGAGCACATTGTGGCAGATCCGACGGGGTTCCTTGAGAAATGAAACTTTGCACGTAAGTCTCATTCTTCTAGTAGGGGATATATCCGACCATTTTTGTTAAAGTACTAAACTTTGTTGTGTCTTTGCATCCGAGAAATTGCCGCCTCCCCTTGTCGAAAATATCCGTGAGTGGGCGAGCGCTATTCTCCCTCATACGGCGGGGGTTCGCACATGGGCGGCCTTTTATGACAAGTATGGGCGCATGCCTCTTTCTGGTAAGATGTCGTTTCTATTCGCCGTTTTTCTCTTTTCCCTCTTTGTATTTAATTCCTCACGTGCTATTTGTTGATGTCAGGGAGGGTGAGCAGAGTGAGGACTCCTCCGATGGCTTTCCTGCATCCGACCTCATCTACTCACCCTGTCGCGGTACCCACAGCCGGACCTTCGTCGAGGGCTGCTTCAGTTGAGTCTGCGGCCTTGGTTACTCCTGCGAGGGCCGCTTCTCATGCCAAAGTCCCGACCCGTGTTGCTCGCCCGATGGGTGAATCTCCGTCTACTGGGGAAGAGGAGGGGCCATTGAAAAGACGGCGAGTGGAGTTTGAAACCGCGCCCCCAACAGTGATTCATCTAGACGACTCTTCTAAACGGGATCTGGAGAAGGTGTTGTCATTGCTCCCCCTATAGGGACGAAACCAGCCGTTGCCTCGGCTCAATCAGAGATTCCCACCGTTGTCGGTGGTCAGCAACCTATCGTGGCGGAAGGACATACTTCTGGGACCGCAGTTAGAGTTTCGGACGTACCCTCATCCTCTGTAGTTGGTCGTGCTCCCCCTTCGGCTACTGAAAGAGGGAAAGGTGTGGTGGTCGACGATTACGAATCCGAATCGGACCTCGACCATGATGACGTCAGGATGTTTGAGGAGGGCCTTACTCGCTCGGTGGTTCGTGCGAGAGGCTCGACCCGTATTCTTGAGATCCCTTCAGATACCAATCTCTTGGGGGACACGGAGGATCTGGTGCCGCAGTTCAGCATGTTATGCTCCGCAACCGAGAATGCGGCCCTTCGGTCCGTTCCTGATGTTGATTTGATGGATGAGGTGACCGCTATGGGCCTAAGGGTATGTTACGCTTACTTTCGCTTTTCCCTCACCTTTTTCGACGATACGATTCTAACCCGTCTTTACATTTTTCAGACGTGTATGGTGGAAGTGGAAAACATTCACATGGCCAACATTCTGGCCAAAATTTTCTTGAAGATGTTGGAGAAATATCGTCGCTACCGCAACAAGTGTCGCGAGATGCATGAGTGGCTGAAGGCAAACCCCGGTAATCAGGCTCTTGGTGCGGAGTTGGAGAAAAGGGACCAGGAGTTGATGTAAGCTATCCGCAGTAGGAGTGTGCTTGAGGAGCAACTTCGAATAAAGGACGAGGAGCTCGAGTTGGGCAAGGGAGTCACCGCAAAGTGCGAGCATTTGCAGGAGAAATTGAGGTCAATGCAGTCGGAGATGGATCAGAACTTGATCAAGGTCAAGGCGTTGAGCGTGGAATGGATGGGAAATTGACTGCGCTGGAGAACAAGGTCGCTAGGTTGGAGAGCATCGAGAGTGCTTGGTCCGCGGCTTCGGTGAGGGCGGCGGCCTTGGAGAACACCATCCGCATCCTCCAGTCCGAGAAGGAGTCGGAGAGAGCGACGTCTACCCTCATGGAGGCAAGGCTTGAGGAGCGTATTAGCGAGATTGACCAAGAGGCATCGGTTCTGGGAGATTGAGTCGCAGCACTGGAGGCAGAAAATGGGCGACTATTGGCTCAGATTGAATCTTCTTCCACCGCTGTTCCCCGCCACATGCACGAGCTTTGGGTTTACGTCGGAGCCCAACGGGATATATACAAGAGTTTGTGGGAGGCGGGTACTGTGATTGAGGTTGCATATGAAGAGGCGCGAGTGAAAGCGCAGGAGGCTCGCGTTAATTGCGGGTATGATGCGGCGATGCCTGAAGCTAATGGGGGCGTGGATGCCGAAGGAGAACTTCCCGGAGATGGTTGTGGAGAGAGTGGCGATGACGATGCAGAGTAGAGGGATAGTGATATTGATCTGTTTTCCGTTGGTTGTTTTCTTCCCAATTTTTCGTTCGTAGTCGATTGTCGTTGTTCCTTCTTTCTTTTTCCCTATGTTGTTCCTTTTTTTTAGACTGTTGATTTGGGTCTTATGTAATTCGCGACCATTTGCGCGGAGACTTTGTATAGAGGAGAATTTTTCGCTGTTATTTGTCTTGTATTCTACTCTTGTTTTCGTTTCGCGTGATTCCGGTGCGAGATAGATTCCCGTACGGCGAGTCCCGGTCTTTTGCACTTTCCGATAATTCTTAGCCTTAGGAGTATTTCGCACTTTCTCATTGGCGATGGCTTATGGCCTTAAAGGGTGTTATTTCGAACTTATCGAAATAGTAACCCGTCGTTGTTCGATCGAGGTCGAACTCTTCTTTTTGGCGAAGGCCCTTGGCCTTAAAGGGTGTTATTTCGAACTTATCGAAATAGTAACCCGTCGTCGTTCGATCGAGGTCGAACTCTTCTTTTTGGCGAAGGCCCTTGACCTTAAAGGGTGTTATTTCGAACTTGTCAAAATAGTAACTCGTCGTTGTTCGGCCGAGGTCGAACTCTCTTCTTTTTGGAGAAGGCCCTTGGCCTTAAATGGTGTTATTTCGAACTTATCGAAATAGTAACCCGTCGTCGTTCGATCGAGGTCGAACTCTTCTTTTTGGCGAAGGCCCTTGGCCTTAAAGGGTGTTATTTCGAACTTATCGAAAGAGTAACCCGTCGTCAGTCCCAGTTTTTGGAGAGCCAGACATTTTCTGGGAGAGTCCCAGTTCGTTTGACATTGCTTGCATCAAGGGGTGCAACGTTGGAGAATATGAAACGTTTCTATTTTGCTTAGGTTCGTTCTGCGCACACATTGTAGTCTCCTTGTCTGACTTCTGCCTTCCGGCTTGGAGATGTCACCGACGGGCGGTGTTTCGATT